AAGTACAGTTCATACTGTTACGGCCTGACCGTACGCTGAAAATACGGTGCGGACCGTAGGCAAACCGTAACTGCCTACGGTATTTTTTACAGTGTTCCCGGTGCCTTCCACCGTCATTGCTGTGATCTCTCTCTCTCTCTCTCTCTCTCTCTGTTCCCATAAATCTCTTGTCTCATTTGCACCATTTTCTATTACGACGACTCGACGGTAGCGTCTTCCCGCGCTTTGCGTACGGCACAGCGGTCACAGCACCAACAGTAGCGGTCGAAAGTCTGTGGTCGTAGAGGGTACACAGAGCAGTGGTTAGGCGTTATCGTCGGCAAAGACGGGGCGGGCGACCCAAGGAGAAGGGGAGGTAGTGGTTGCGGTAGGGAGGCGGCCTCCTGCCGACCAAACTTATAATATGTGTCGCCCTGTTTGACGGCGAAATGGCACTCAGCGGGATCCCCAGCGTAACCCCCGCATAAGCCAGGGACTTCCCCTCCCCTCTGGCGTTATCTCCCCCCCCCCTCTCTCTCTCTCTCTCTCTCTCGCTCCCCTCGAGTTCTTCCTTCCTTTCTTCTCTGTCTCTCTACCACGCCACTGCCCCTACGCACTCCTTTTGGCGCAGAATCTTTTCGCATGTAAATTATCTTGAGCCAGAAAATAATGCCTTGAGACATTCTTACTTCTTGTGTCCTTAGCGCGTTCTCTCTCTTGCTCTCCCTCCCCTCCGCCTCCTCCTCGCAACTACCTCTGATTTTTTTTCCATTTCTCTATCTGACGCCTGCCAACCACTTCTCAGCCTCGTTCTCAGCCCTTTGCAAGAAGTATTACGATGATTGTTGGTTCCTATGTAAATTGAAAATATTTTGTAGTATCCTGTTCACTAGTATTTTTCACCGTCTGGCTCAATTTTTTTTATGTAGTTTTTACGGACACGAAGAGGAATGGGATGAAAATTTCAGTGATTGTGACCTGAGAGTGGTTGTTTGGCCGGGCTGGACATAAATTACGGGGCACGAAGAGGAAACAGTGTTTAGCCCTAAAAGGATCAAGAAAAATAGAAGGAGGAAAGTTTGCGGATCAGGAAACGCTTGGCTTAGCGCGGCTTGTACACCCTCCCAGCAGACGCAGAGGGGTAGACAGGGAGTGGGAAGTGGCGAGGGAGAGAGGGAAAGAGAGAGAGGCTTGGACGGAGTTAGGTGTCTGGGGTCAGAAGCGGAGAGGGGCATGTTTGTTCGCCTCTTTTTTTATGTCCGCACACCAATCTGCGCGGCGGTGGTTGGGAAGAGGGCACCCTAGGCTCCGAGCCGAACGGAATACATAGTTGGGCCTTTCTGTAGAGGTGTCAAGGGGTGCTTTCAAGGACCTTCAGAGGAGGGAGAGAATGTTAGAGATATAAGGCCGGCGTCCCTCCAGGCCCAAACAACTGGAATTCTACTGGAAGAGTCACCGGGTATAGAGATAGCTTAGCAAGGTGCAGGGGAGGGATGGACGCGGGTGAAGGCGGGTGGGGGGAGGCCCTAAGTTTGCTGGAGGGAGACTGAGGGGTGAGGGGTGGGAAGACTGCAGGGGTTGGGGTATGAGAAGGATCGGAGGCAGCAGGAGAAGAAGGATGAGGAGTTTAGCAAGACAGGGAGCAAAGGGGGCGCTGCTGCAGAGAGAGAAACCCCTTGTAGGGGACGAGGAGGTGCTGGCGACCTCACTTGGCGGTCACAACGCCAAGTTAGCATACCATGACATGCCACAACTGCTGCTGCTGGTGCTGCTATGTTCCATCCTCCTTCCCTGCGGCGCCCTTCGATGCAACAACACAAATGTTTGTTTGGAAATGAAGGGTGGTGGCATTTGACGCCGTGAAGAATGCACACCCATCTGGGCTTCAGACCATGGTGTCATCAGAGGCCCAGGCCCCTTCTCCGTCTCCACAAAAGACATTGAGCGTCTTGCTCCGTTTTACCATTTTTGCCTGTCTCTCGGCCAAGTACGGCAGTGCTTCATTTTCAAATCCGACGGTTCTCATCCACGGCAAGGCGCAAATCCACCCCTGCACTCGGTCCCCTCGCCCTTCCCACCCCACTTCCGCCTCCCCGTCCGTTTCCGGTTGATATCCGGCCCTGTGATTCGTCCATCGCGAGTCACCGGAGCCGGGCGTGGCCGGGTGGCCGTCCCCGGAGTGGAAGACGCCAGCAGGGCGGGGGAGTTTGGGGGAGGAGATATTTTCGGGGGTTGTTCGGTAGGCCGGGCCGGGCTAGATTGAAATTTGGGGTCGGAAATGGTGCCTGGATGCCTGCCAATGCAGGGGGCCTCCGAACCTGCGCTGCTCGAGTCATGCGTTTGCGTTTATGGAGACGACTGGCGGGCGGGAGGGTTGGGTCGGGTCGTGCCCGGACTTATTTGTAAAGTTGTCGTTGCGCATGGAGAACTAGAATTTATTCAAACCAATCGAAATGCTTATTACCTGGTATTAATTTCCGCCGTTTTTTCTTGTGTTTTAGGTGAGTTGCTGTGACTGACAACGCATAATCGTGAAACGGATACCTTTTCATCTGTGAGTACACACATTTTTTTCGTCTTCCCTTTTTTGTGCTTAAAATTTAGCGACTGGTTATTTCAGCTCCAAACTGGTAAAAGGCGCGTTTACCCTCCCTTTGCTGGCTCCCCCTCCCTCTTCCCCCGTCGGGGCGGTCGGGGCCGGCGGGTCCGGGGCACACAGACAGTGAAGGAAGCCAGCTATTTGTGGCTGGGAAACAACACACGGCTGCGTGCAGGGCGGGCCGGGTCTACGTTCGAAGGGGCACAGTCTGTCGCATCGCCCCTCTCTCTCTCTCGCACCCCCAGTCGCGTGACGGTGAGCGGCGCCCGCTCCTCACGCAGCCGGCGATGCAGGCCGCGTTGCATGACGGCGACCGTACCGTGCCGCGGCGGCGGGCGGACAGGTAGACAGGAGCAGGCGGACGGGCGGGCGGGCGCGCCCAGAGGGTAGCGCAGCGAGCGCAGCAGTCAGACGACGCATGGTCGCCCGGGGCTCGTCGGGGAGGATCAATCAACTGTCACTCTTTGTAATCGCCCGCTCGTATGGCGGGGCACGGCGCGGCCAATGGGAGCGCTCGGCGCGTGTGAGGGCGCATCCCATTGGCCGAGTGCCACACGAAAACGGGATCGCGCAGGATTTACCAAGATATCCGTTAGTACCGAAGGCGAAATTATCTACGGTCTTCGGTGGCCACGTTCATCTATCGAGTACATTTATGATAAAGTTAGTGTAAAGAAGCCCTGACTTATGGCCTCAAAAAATAATGGTTAAAAATCTTAATTTTTGTCGAGCGATTGCTTTTATTACATCTCGGTGATTTTGCTTTGTTATATGTTGACATTTTATTTTTAACTGACCGCCGTAGTCATGTCAATACGATATTAATCGCGACGAGAATTTTAAAGCACGAGGTGTGCGAATGCTGGCCGTGTACCTTGTTACGATAGAGATCTGAGGAGATAAGCATTTATTGAGCGTGGTAGCCTGATACTGGGGGGCTGTTGGTTGGCATATGGCGCACGGGCTTTCTAATTGGTCTGAGAGGCAGCTGTCATAGTCTGAGTAACTGCCAGAGTGAGTGTGTGGGAGAGAGAGAAATGGGGAGGGTGGGGGCAAAAATTGTGACACTCATGTGAAATGGAAAATAATTTCTCCCTTCCCGGCGACCCCCGACCCCGGTCACTTACAATTTCCTTGTTTTCCGCTGGTCTATTGCCAGCCCTCATTGCGACGACAATCAGCCGGTTGCGCGCTGGACGGGAGAGTCCGGAAACAAATCGAATTTGGTGTGATGGGATGTGGGCGTTGGGTCGCTGCTTCACGGTTCAGGGGTGGCGGGGGGACAGGCATGAGGAGCAGCCATGATGTGCTCCGCTGCGTCTGTCTGCGCTCAATCCGGTCACCACATTATTTTTACTTCGGTTTGCTGCCGACAAACACGTGGCCATCTTGAGACGAAACTGTGCCGATGTATAATTTGCAACATATGTGAATCTTTTGAATGAAAGTAGTTCGTTTATACCCCAGCATATAGCGTGTATACGAAAAATAAATTGTTTGGTCTAGACTAAATACCACGCTAATCGCAATAAACTTTTTTAAATGAATGTAACTTCCGAGGTTACTTTAGAAATTCTTGTCGCGTCATGTTTTTACATTTTTTAAATTAAATGTGGTCACATTGTTGTGTCTCAACTGGTCTCTCTGATAATGTTAGTCACATTTTTGCTTCGAGGTATAGTTTCAAAATTTCCTTTTTTCACATTTTAAAAAGGTTTGCCGCTTCTAAAGATTTTCAGTTCCCTATATGTTATGCCATTTCAAATTACTTTTACTTTACCATACTTGACCTCTACAACGAAAGCTTAATGTAAGAGAACGTCCAGAGAGCTGGAAAGTTTGTTGTTAGGTGCACCACATTCTAGGAGCATCGTTGCCGGGCCAAGTCGGTCCCCTCAAGGTCCCCGCTGGTCAGGGACTTGTCAGGGAGATGGAGGGTCCCGCACTACCCCCTGCCTGCCCGCCGGATGAGGTCGGAAATGGCGTCTGTAAAATATGAAGCATTGTGGACAGCACCCAGCACCCCTCGGGTCACCCTCCTCCGGGTCTATATAGGGGATAGCAGACGGACCTCTTCCTATAGACCCACGGTGCGCCTGGGATGGGAGTGGTACCCAACCATGCGCCACCCTTCCTACTCTCGGAACGGCCGTGCGGTGTGCATTCGCGCACGACAAACCGAACCGGGTCCGCGGTATGGCTAGCGCCAGGATGGGAGGCAGGGGGTTGGGTCCGAGAGGGGGCAGGTTGTTGGGATCAGTCTGCGAGCTCGCTGCGTGTTCCACGTCAGGGGTGCTGATGGAGTTGGCACGCCGTGGTGCTGCTGCGTTTTACACACCTCTCATGCGTAATGGGCTTGCTTAATCTAATTTTGCCTTTACAAAAAATAATCTCATTTTATCGTGTTTTTTTCATTGTTATTTTTTCTTCGACAGGTATGCGGGATTGCGGGTGGTGCTAACGTGACGCCTTTATTAGGTAAGACGCTGAATTTTCGTTTTGCCCCTTTGAGGGTGTAGCATGATGCAGGCTGGAGTTTGAAAGTTTTCGGGGGGTGGCTCTGTGAAATTGTTGCCGTGGCGCTCTTTCGATCTAACGCCGATGCAGAGAGTGGTTGTCAGGGCGTTGCGTTCGCAGCCGTGCTCCCCTAATCCTCCGGAGCGTTTGTCCGACGCGAGAGAGGGAGCGAGGGTGAGTGAGAAAGAGAGAGAGAGAGTGAGTGGCGGGACCCCGCGCCATTGGCTGGCGCCCGGGAGCGAGGGAGAGGGGCTCAACGCGGCGAGAGCGAGCGAGACGGGACGCACGGCGGGTGGGTGGGGCAGAGAGAGAGAGAGAGGGAGAAGGAGGACCCAACCCGGCTGGCCCGCGCTGCGCCCGCACGGGGAAGGTCCACCAGTACGGCTTGGGTTGGCGCACGGAGCACTGTCCCGCGTCGCGACGCCACCGCCTGGCCGAGACAACGCCGGTGCGATCACGTGAACGCGACGCTTCCGATGCAGGTTCGCGACGCGCAGCGATTCGCGTCCCGGACAAGATCCTCGTGCACGACTTCTTCCACCTCCTTGACGGCGTCCTGATGGCCGGGCCCGGGCGCTATGGTGCTGGCCACGACGGCGTCCTGGTGTTGCGCGACGTGACGACGCCGGCCCGGTAGCGACAGCATGAGGACTTTACGACCACGGTGTGTGTGTGCGCGCGCGCGTGTGTGGGCAAAGCAAGTTTATCATTAAGTGTCTCCCCTTTGTTTTGTGTGTGAGTGTGCATTAGTATTATTTTTTTGCGTTTGTGTGTGTGTGTCGTATTGACCGGTTTTATCCCCGCTAAAAAAAAAAATATATTAAAAGGACCAGCGCAGTAAAGGAGCGTCTGTGAGCCTAAAAGTGCACGACGGACAACCATGAGCCTCCAGGGACTATAATTAAAAGCAGAGGGGGTT